TCTCTTATTCTAAGAACCCAAATTTCTAGGGCGCATTATTCGTAGCAAAAGCATGAACGTATAGATGGAATAGGAGCTCCAAACATATGTAAAGTACTTGATACATTGTCCAACTCCTTTTTGATTGAATTACGGAGAGGTTGATTGATGACTATGAAAAGCATCCTATTTATAGTATAATGATTTCATTCAAGGTTTATGTGAATGTACGTTAGCTGTCTTTGGAATCATTTTTTTTCTGTTTCGAATCAATCACCTGCTTAATAGATGTGAAGCTGAATAGAATCAAAAGCTAAACTGTCTCTTTTGAGGTTTTTGGGAATTCAATAAGTCATCGAACACAGAGCCGTATATTACATATATAGCTATAAATATATAAATAAGTAAATAAATAAATAAATGAATAACTAAATCAATAAAAATAAATTATATATCGTTTTAAGGAGAAACTTGCCATATTTGAGGGGATTCACTCTTAGTTTCTAAATTGTTGACTTTCTTTATACTTTTTGTCTGTCAAACGACTGTTTCATTCCTTTTTTCGTAAATTTTCCAGTACAAACACTGGCGTGAGCCACTCAGGCAAAGATCATCAGCTTTCTTCGCTAATTTTCGTTATCCTTTTTTAAAACACATGTAGCAGCCAGAGCAAAGCCTAATCTTCAAAACTCTTTCATGAGAATTGGAGATAAAGTCTACTTGATTAGTTCCAATATCTTTTCAAGTTGCAGCCATCATGCCTTTCGAGGAAAGTTAATAGGCGAGCATAAGAAGTACGTGGCATCCATACGTTTGTTACTCGTAAATTTGGAAGAAGTTGTTATAATCTCAGTTTTGCATATGCGGCAACAATGTTCTTCTTAATCAAGCATATTTCATGCTTCCTCTTTTTTTGACTTCCAAAAAAATTACTCTAAATGTAATCATCTTTCGAAACAATCGTTTCCTTACCCCATTATTCGTAATATATTTAGAGCCGATTGTCTATAATCCATAAGGAGAATCTGAGCTTTGTTTGATTTTTTCATACCTGTTCCATTCTCCAAATGGTGACTTGACTCTCACTGGTTTCTTGATATTGCAATATCAATCACATATGATAGAGAGATCAGAAAAAACAGTAGATACGCAACGTGCGGTAAGACGCCCTGCTATTTTAAATATCACTCTGATGTCAAACTTTGTGAATGACATGGTTAGTGCATATCAAAGGTAGTGGATTTATCAAATTACTAGTAGAATAATCTATAAATATTCAATTTTACAAACATCAAAGTTTTCATCATCCAGAATTTTACTAAAAATACTAGCAAATGTTAGAAATAAGGTTAAAGAGGTTGCAAGTAGTGGTGTATTTGCCTACCAGAATTATCTTATAAATCACATCAGCGCGCTTTCAAGCGTTCACTGATCAGATTGCTTCAGGAGAGGACTAGAGGCAACGGGAGTGCTAGAGGGCGCTTGAGAGGTTAGAAATTTTTTGTGCCCATGTGAATTCTGAACAATATATTAAGAAGATAACCACTTCTCATACTAATTCTCCTTTTGCTTTTCGCTCGATTACAGCATTTCTTGTGCAAATTCTTATTTTTATTTAGCTCTTTTCCTCGAACACTTACACCAGGGGTGGAATATCAATCTCCCTGTCAAGATCCCAGCTCCCTATCGGGAAGAAGGAAGTGATTTTCTATTGTAACCACCCGATCTTCGACAGGGAGATTGATACATTCCCCAGGCCTCGGCATAGGTTTACGAAGCCCCCTTTGTAACGTGTGCAAATGTGTGCAAACAGGACAAGTTCCACAGCGCTGTTTGCTTAGAGCGCATTTTCTTTCTCAAAGTAAAGGCCTAAACAAGGAAGAGAGGAAGTGCTTTGATCTGAATATTTGAGCTGAGATTGCCTAAAATTAAATATAAGGAAAGCAAAATCATGAGAAAAAAGGTTCGCTAATCGGAAAGCTAAGGTT